GAGAGAGAATGTTAGTGACGAACCTGGTGAGGAACTCGGAGATGGGTTTAGAAGAGAGGATTGGGGATTTATCACCATTAGCGATCCTATTGATCTCAGGCTGAATATCCTCGTAGGTTATAACAGGCATCACGTTTTTGAAAGTATCTCGGTCTGTACGACCGTCGAGGTCATGTCGCCTGAGATACTCCACGTCAGCATTGCGGGTCAAGATCTCCTCCAAGACCCGTCTCTGGACTTGGCCGGCGTTCGAAGTCAGTTCCTCGATCAACTGAAGCTTCTTCTTGCTCTTCTCATCAAGGGTCAAATCGAAGACCTCTAAAGATTCTTGTTTCGGTGCCTCAGGCATGGATTCGTTTCAAAGATGGTAAAATGAGAGAAGTTCGAAAAAGAAGAAGATTGATATAGATTAGAAGTAGATAAAGCTTATTACGTTTTTTGGGAGCTTTTAGTGTGTGAGGAACAAGGAAAGAGATGGGTTGATATATATAGAGGTGAACGAAAACGAAGGTGAAAAGTAGGCATGTGGCATTGAGGAAGATGAAGGGTATAATCGTCATTTATTAACCAGGAATTAGCTTACTATTCGTGCTTTTTAACATCATAACACAAAAAGTAAGGAATTCCAACTAATTATTTATTTTAAAATCATAACAGAAAAAGGAATGTGTCTTTTTTCCGTAATAATGGTCAAACCCCAATTGGATGAATAAAGTTTGATGAAAAGGACATTTCTAACTACACATAGTACTCTTTGTTTTTTTGGCAAGATTGGCTCCGGTGGCCGGTGGCTTTCTCAGCACCGTCGTTGGAGCTTGTGTATATTAAGTTCTTTATTTTAGTTTCCGGCAGCTCCTAGATTTTTTCGATGTCTTGTTTAGTGGGTATGAGTTTAAGATCTTTGGCTATGGTTAGGATTGTGCAGGGTGGATAGGTGTCCTCAAGGTCTTGGGTGGTGGATCTGGCTCGTAGCCGTTGTCCTCAACCGGTCTCTAATTTGCTCAGCTCAGATCTATTGAGATTTAGAGATTGTTGCTTATGGTGCGGCTCACCTTCTCGTTGGTGATTGCAGATTCGCTTTTGGTTGGTCTCGGCGAGCTTCTTTCTCCGTTTTCCTATTCGCATAGTGCAAGTTTGCTTTGGTTGCTAATTTTCCTAGGATTAAAGATACGGCTGAGACCTAAGATTAGAGTTATAGACAATCAATGGGCCATTGATCTTTGGTTTTAAATTCAGTGCTTAACCAGAGTTCTTTGGCAAGGTTTTGATCGGGTCTTCTTCTTGGTATCACCCTATCTCAGTAAAAATAAGAGTGGGGCACGAGCAATAGATTGGGATTATGTCCGTTATCTCTCCTTCAAGACTAATAAGGCTCTGTGGTTGTCCGCCTTTCAACTTTTCCTGGATCAGTCGTCTTTGGTTTGCGTTTTTTTCGTTCGGGATGCTAGTTTTCTGAACATCTGTGTCGCTTTGTTTAGATGTTTTATCGATGTTGAGATTTTAATTCTCATATTCTGCCTCATAGTTTATTCTTGTATTATAACCGATATTCGACCATGTATTATATTTGGTTTTAATAAAATTTTCAGATGACAAAAAAAAAAAAAAAACTACACATAGTACTCTTCAATTCATACACTTACTTGCTGCCTGGATTTTTTATTGGATCTCTATATATATATATTATCCATTTGACTATAACTGTTACGAAGTTTTAGACATGGCATATAATAGTGAAGATTTTGTAATGAACCACCGATACGTTTGCATTGTTGTTAAGAAAATCAGTTTACAAATTATGGTTTTATTGAGAAAAGAACAAAAATACTACAACATGTTGCTTGTCTGAAATATCTGATTCAAAATACATTATCATAAATATTTTTTAAAAACATGGTTTTAAATATTTGAATTTTAAAATGATTTTGGCATTACTAAAATTTAAAATAATTGACACTCAAATCACTCATCCCAAATACATATAACATAATAGTGTAGTAATGAAATCATGTACACTACAAGTACAATTAGATATCTCAATCATATAAAAATAATAAAATAAGATGGGGGCAAAGATTAGA